ATGGAGTACTACTCAACAATAAAGAACAATGATGAATCTGTGAAGCATCTCACAGAATGGATGAATCTGGATGGCATTGTGCTGAGTGAAATAAGTCAATCACAAAATGACAAATATATGAAACCACTACTATAAAAAACTCATGCAAAGGTTTACACACAAAAAGAAACAATCTTTGATGGTTACGAGGGAGGAGAGTGATTGGGATGGAAAAACACTAAATAGACAATAGATAAGTGGTGACTTTGGTGAAAGGTGGGACAGTGCACAACACTGGGGAAGCAAGTGTAGTTTGTCTGGGGCAAGGTCACAGATGCTCCATAGACATATCCAAACTCCCTAAGGGACTGAATTACTGGGCTGAGGGCTGTGGGGATCATGATCTTGGGGAACGTCCGGCTCAATTGGCACAATGCAGTTTATAAAGAAAATGTTCTACATTCTACTTTGATGAGTAGCGTCTGGGGTCTTAAAAGCCTATGAGTGGCCATCTAAGATACTCCACTGGTCTCACCCCTTCGAGAGCAAGGGAGAATGAAGAAAACCAAAGACACAGGGAAGGACTGATCCGAAGGACTAGTGGACCATGACTGCCACAGCCTCCACCCGACTGAGTCAGTGCAACTGGATGGTGCCTGGCTGCCACCGCTGACTGCTCTGACAGGGATCAAGTGGAGAGCCTCAGACAGAGATAGAGAAAAATGTAGAGCAAAATTCTAACTCACAAAAAAAGACCAGACTTACTGGTCTGACAGAATGTAGAAACCCTGAGAGTATGGCACCTGGACACCCTTTCAGTTCAGTAATGAAATCACTCCTGAGGTTCACCCTTCAGCCAGGGATTGGACAGGCCCATAAAACAAAACGAGACTAAAGGGACACACCAGTCCAGGGACAACGAGGAGAAAGCAGGAGGGGACAGTGAAGTTGGTGATAGGGAACCCAAGGTCGAGAAGGGAGAATGTTGACATGTCGAGGGGTTGGTAACCAATGTCACAAAACAATATGTGTACTAACTGTTTGATAAGAGGCTGGTTTGTTCTGTGTGAACCTTCATCTGGAGTGCAATTAAAAAAAAGAAAAGAAAATAGAACACTTAACCAACACTTTAAGCCAAGTAGATCTAACAGACATCTACAGAATACTTTACACAACAATAGTAGAATACACATTCTTCTCAAGGGCACATGGAACATTCTTCAGCATACACTATGTGCTAGGCCATAAAACAAGCTTCAGTAAATTTAAAAGGATAGAAATAATACCAAGTATGTTCTATGACCACATGGCATGAAATCAGAAATGTATAACAAAGAAATTTGGGAAACTCATAAATATGTGGAAATTAAACAACACACTCCCAAATAACCAATACGTCACAAGGAGAAATCACAAGGAAAATTAGACAATAAGACATTAATAAAAATGAAGATACAAAATACCAAACATGACGGTAGATAGCCATATTGGTGCTCAGAGGGAAACTTATAGCTGTAAATGACTATATTAAAAAAGAACGACTATTACAAAATAACTCAAAAAAAGGTTTACAGACAGAAAGAAAACAATCTTTGTTGGCTATGAGGGAAGAGAGGAAACAGGAGGGGAAAATACTAACTAGACAGTAAACAACTGTTAACTTTGGTGAAGGGAAAGACAACATACAACGTAGGGGAAGTCAGCACAACTTGACCAAGGCGAAGTCATAGAAGCTTCCTAGAAACATCCAAACACCTTGAGGGACCAAGTGACTGAGGCTAGGCTGAAGACTGAGGACCATAGTCTTGGGGGACATCTAGGTCAACTGGCATAACATAGTTCATAAGGAAAATGTTCTACACACTACTTACATTCAGCAAATCTGTTGCAAAAGACCTCTTTAAAGTGTTAAAAAGCAAATATGTCACCTTCAGGGCTAAGGTGTACCTGACCCAAGCCATGGTATTTTCCATTGCCTCATATGCATGCAAAAACTGGAAAATGAATAAGGAAGACTGAAGAAGAATTGCTGCATCCGAATTATGGTGTTAGTGAAGAATACTGAATATACCATGAACTTCCAGAAGAATAAACAAATCTGTCTTGGAAGAAGTACAGCAAGACTTCGTCTCATGTACTTTGTACGTGTTCTCAGGAGGGACCAACCCCTGGAAAAGCACATTATACTTGATAAAGCAGAGGGTCAGCGAAAAAGAGGAAAACCCTCAATGAGATGGACTGACACAGTGGCTGCAATAATGAGCTCAAACATAGCAATGATTGTGAGGATGGTGCAAGACCAGGCAGTGTTTCTTTGTGTTGTACTTAGGGTCGCTATGAGTTGGAACCAACTCAGTGCCACCTAACAACACCACCACCAACACAACAGAACCAGATGAAGGCATCATGAGAAAAGAAACCTACAGGCCAATATCTCTTATGAATATGGACACAAAAATCCTCATCAAAATACTAGCAGAGTCCAGCAACATACAAAAAGAATTATGCATCATGACGAAGTGAGATTTATCCCAGTAACATAAGGGTGGTTTAATATCTGAAAATCAATCAGTGTAATATACATATCAATAAAATAAAAAACTAAAAACCACATGATCATCTCAATACATACAGAAAAAACATGTGACAAAATTCAACACTCCTTCATGATACCAAAAAAAAAAAAAATCCTCAACAAACTAGGAATAGAAGGAAATTTCCTCAACCTGATGAAGGGCATCTATTAAAACACACACACACACAGAAAGACTGGACGTTTCCCTCTAAAATCTGGAACAAGACAAGGATTTCCACTCTTGACTTATACTCAACATTGCAGAGGTGGTTCTAGTTAGGACATTCAGGCAAGAAAAATAAATAAAAAACACCCAGATTGGAAAGTAAGAAGCAAAACTATCTCTATTAACAGATGACATGATCTCGTATACAGAAAATCCTAAGAAATTCACTAAACACTACTATAATTAATAAACAAATTTATCAAAGTTGTATAATACAAGATCAATATACAAAAATCACTTTTATTTCTACATATTTGCAATGAACAATCTGAAAATGAAATTTAAAAAAAATTTCATTTATAATAGCATCAAATGAAATAAAATACTCAGGAACAAATTTAACAAAGGAAGTGTAAAATTTTTGATGTGATACTACAAAACATGATAGAAAAAAATCAAAGAAGAGTTAAATAAATGGAAAAACATCCCATGTTCACGGATCTGAAGACTGCTAAAGATGGCAATACTCTCTAAATTGATCTACAGATTCAATGCAATCCCTATCAGAATTCCAGCTGCCTATCTTGTAGAAATTGATAAGTTGAATCTAAAAATACTATGGAATTACAAGGGACCCAGAATAGCTAAAAGAATCTTGATTAAGGAGGACAAAATTAGAGGACTCATATATTCCAATTTCAAAACTTACTACAAAGCAACAGTACAGTAATCAAGACAGTGGGGTACTGGCATAAAGATAGACATATAAAGCAATGGAACTGAATTGAGAGTCTAGAAATAAACTCATGTGTCTTTGGTCAAATGATTTTCAACAAGGGTGCCAAAATAATTCAGCAGGGAAACAAATGGTACTGGGACAACTGGATGTCCACATGCAAAAGAACGAAGTGGGACTGTTACACCATATACAAAAACTAACTCAAAATGGATCAAAGACATAAATCAAAGATATACATACAAATGGATCAAAGACAAAAATTAACTCAAAATGGATCAAAAAAATAGATTCAAAAGTGTAAAATTCTTAGAAGAAAACAGGATAAATTTTCATGACCTCAGATTTTGCAATAGATTCTTAATTTTGGCACCAACAAGCAACAAAAGAAAAAAATAGGTAAACTAAACTTCATCAAAATTAAAACGTTTGTGCTTCAAAGGACACTATGAATAAAATAAAAACACAACTCATAAAATGTGAGAAAATATTTACAAATCATATATCTGATATATCTGATAAGAGACGTTTATCTAGAATATGTAAAGAACTCTTACAACTCAACAACAAAAAGACAATCCAATTAAAAGTGGACAAAGGACTTAAACAGACGTTTTTCCAAAGAAGGTATACAAGTGGCCAATAAGAAAATGAAAAGATGCTCCACATCAGTAGCCATGAGGGAAATGCAAATTAAAATCACAGTGAGATATCACTTCACACCCAACGGGATGACTACAATCAAAAAGTCTCATAAGTCTTCTTCTCCATCCTTGGCGATTTCCATCCCTGCATCTTATTTTCTCTTCATGGCCTAGAAAATTTCTCTCATTACTTTTTCCCTGTCTTCCTCTTATTTTCCCTTCTCCATTTTTTTTATTTCTTATCCCCCTTCTCTCACTACATTTTCTAGCAACAAATATGCAGTCCACATTTAATAAGTTGATGACTATACTGAGTTTTATTTTTCAAGGTTAAAATTTCAAGAGCTGAACATTCTTTTTAGTGTGCTTTCATTAAAAAAATACCATAATGGGATTTTTTTTTTTTTTTTTTTAAAGTATGCCACTATCAGTGTATTTTCTTCCCTGGGACCATTATCCTTCCACAGAAATGGTTTCTTACCCTTTTTATACTGTGTGAAAAAGATACTCAATTCTAGCTTCGGCCGCTGGGGGTTTCCACTCTATTAAGGAAGGGCTCACTTCTCCAGGGGCACAAAGCCTGCGCGGGATTCCACCACACTAGGCGGTTGGCCGAACTCCTACTGTCATCTAGCGGACAGAAACGGAAAGTGCTCCTTCTCCAGCTTGGCTGTTGCCAGACGGACCAAGACGGCCCGGGCTGGCCAAAGAAGGAGGGCGCAGACTAAGATACCGAAGGGTCTGTAAGAATCCTATTTTCTATTGGCTGGAGAGCTGTCAGTAATCAGTTTGAGCCAACGAGCCGGTGCATTTGGATGACGTCAGACGCTGTGCGACTCCTCCCACCCACCCGCTAGCAACGCGTCTGGCGACGGCCGAGGCTAACGTTGGACCCCCGGGGGTTTCGGCTATCCCATGTGCGCCCCACGACTGGTGCTACTGCAGGCGTTCTTCCTGATGGTGCCTGAGAACGCCCGGGCTCAGCCTTCTTCCTCTCCATCAGGGGCAGTACTCACCCCTTCGGACCTGGGGCCAAGTACACTGGGCGGGACCCTTCAGTCCTCCGAGGGCACTGAACCGCCCCGGGCCTTGCTTGGGATCTCTACGGTGGGCCCTACTGCCGTGACCCCTTCGGCGCCTGAGAATAGGACAATGGACCTCTTCCCAGGTAAGAACAAAGTACTGACCTCTCAAATCGAAAATTCTGTGAAGAAAGTTAGATTGCCATTAAATGGGGAGCGGTGGGGCTGTCGGAAGAGGGGAAATTTGGCACCTGGAGGAGTTTGGGGATCCTCATCTCACTCGCTCTGCTTTATGTTTTACTTTCATAGTCTTGCCAATCTGTGTCTGTGACTTGACTCCTGGTGCCTGTGATATAAATTGCTGCTGCGACAGGGACTGCTATCTTCTCCATCCAAAGACAGTTTTCTCCTTCTGCCTTCCTGGGAGCGTAAGGTGAGCAGCAGCGCTCAGGTCGTTTTATCATGAAGGGAATTGGAGTTCTGGAATAGGTAATATTTGGAAGTAGGAAAAGTTAGCCTTC